ACTCAAACCATCATGAACAGTTTGGTACAATATCCAATCAACTAGGAATTACCTTTGCTTCTATTGACGGGAATGAGTAGATATATTGTGAGAATAGTTGTTAAATGATGAATCAGGGAAAAGTCTACAGTCGCTTCCCATAGGCTCTCACATACACTATGGTACCGGCCTAACCTAACCTAACCTTCCTTCTAGATCGTTCACAATAAATCAGTCCCTTGGCGATTATGCACACCACCACAAGCGGGCGGACGATCGATAAACGGACTCTCTCTCTCTCTCTCTCTCTCTCTCTCTCTCTCTCTCTCTCTCTCTCTCGTCAGCTTGTAACCAAAGTCGACGTGTGATACAATAGCACAAATAAGAAAACAACTGTGCAATTATACTCGGAAATAATTCTGGTTATTTTCACTAATAATCAGTTAAATTTGACAGATAATTTATTACGGAAACATGCTATTTCCTCCTCCTCCTCCTCCTCCTCCTCGTCTTCCTTCTAATCTTCCTCCTCCTCTTCCTTCTCCTCCCCCTCCCCCTCCTCCTATTTAAAAATAATAATATATATATTTTTTAATTGATTTTTGTTACTTTTAATCTGTTGTCGTCGTGTGGTGAAAGACACAAAGGAATAAAAGTAGTATCTTATATAATACTTTTCTCGAACGACAACACGACATTTAGAACACATCTGTCTAGTTTACAAATGTTCTTAGTATCATCAAATATTAAATCAACTGGTGAACCTTTATAGACACACCATCAGTCTCCTTAAAGATACTTCGCGTGACTGTGAACACTAAGTCACACCAACTCTCTGGGTCTCTGGGGTGAAATTATACTACAGCGTCTCACTTAGTTGTGGTCATATTTCATGTCATTTATTATTATTATTATTATTATTATTTTATTATTATTATTATTATTATTATTATCATTATCATTATCATTATCATTATTATTATTATTATTATTGCTTAGAATTGTCCTTTAACCGTGTTTAGGTTAGGTGAGGTGAGGTTAGGTTAGCGTAAGGTTAGGATATCGTTAGGTTAGGTTAACGTTATGATAGTTAATCTTCTCGCGCTTCTATTGGAGGTAAATGACTTAGACCAACAGGCAGGTACTCGGTATATATCTAGTGACCCTGTACATGACCCGTGTGTTACAGGGGACGCCACAGTCAGGTGCTGAGAGTTGGAGGATAATTATACTAAGGGAGCGTGAACATCCAATTATCGGCCCGGGCCTGAGGAATGTTGGTTAAAATTCATGTTTATGTGAATTAAAGGGTGTGTATGCGTCCTGTGAATGAGAAGTTTTTTGTGTGGTAATGTAGAATATAGTGATACCTACTGATGGGAAAATTAATGGCGGCGGTGAGGGTAAATGTATTTATTGAGGCGGATGAAGGCAATGTAAGATGGACAGGCTACTAAGGCGAAACCCAACAAACTGGTGCTAACGGCAGTCTATTGCTACTCTCCATCTCCCCAGTTGTTGCAGCTACCTGCACCACTGGATCAAGAAAAGGGAGCCTAAGCTCCTGCCTCACCACATAAATCAGCTCACGCGCAGCCATCATCCAGTTCATCATACTCCTCATCATCATCAAAACCCCAGTACCCCCAAAGTGGCGACGGGGACAGGCAGAGATGACTGCCGGGAGTCACTAGTCACAACTTTGCACATGGGCGGCACAGATAAGATGGTGGTTTATGCACTGGGATCTAGGCAGCAGTGCTATTAGTCCTGTCTGTGCAACTGAGCAGCCCTTTCCAGGAGCCACTCTGCTCACTCCACATGGGGAGTGAGGGAATGACGTCATGCCTACTTTCTGCCCATCGATCTCGTGATTGCTAATTAAACAAAGTGAGTTTTTTTGGTGACTGTGATGACGTTTAGGTGCGGTGGCCAAGTGAGAACAGCGCTCACCTCCCGTTCTGAGAGTCACTGGAGAGAGAAGGAAAGAAAAGAGATAAGGTCATCCATACAAGTCCTTTTCCTGCTATAGTGGAAGGTGGCTGAGCAGATGTTGATGCCTGACCATTATTTAACATTCAACAGTTAATTGGTCACCCCCCCCCCCTATACCTTAGGAGGAAGCTTGTCCACCCAAGGGTTGTTGTTCCGGTAAGGTCAAGTGTTTACCCGGCACACAGACATGAAGCATTTTAACTTGTCAAACAACATTGTATCAAATTTCCTGGGCTAGTTTATAAACGAGTTGGCACACACACACACACACACACACACACACACACACACACACACACCATATGATTATTCACACATAACTCACAGGACAGAACCAATAATCTTAAGCATTACTGTAGTTTATGCCTAAGAGACCTTGTTCAATATGACCACAACACAACAGTAGTATAGTTACCTTGTGCTGGTGGGAACCCTGGTGCCGTACAGGGTCACCTCCTGGCACCGTCTTCACACTTATATGACACCTTATGGCACTTGACGACACCTTGCTGTACTCTTTGACATACTTTACACTTTACGAGACTTTAAAGCATTAGTGGCACTTTATTGACACTTTACGACATCAATGGCTCTTTACGACACTTTGAGAGAATTCACATCACCTTACGACACTATTCGACACCATATGACAGTATTGTATGTTGCTTGGACACTTTATAACTATTCGAAACTTCAAGAATTTATGACACTTTATGACACTATGAAACTATATGGCTTTTTACAGCACTTTAGAAACTGATGTTTTCGGACACTTTAACATATTAGGACGTAAAAATTATACCATGACACTCGGAAAACCTACTTTTCCTCGTAGTTTTCATACCACAAAAAATTTACAACACTTATAAACACGTTACGATACATGCGACCACTTCACAATACTTATGCAAATTTACCGCACTTAAAATCACTTTTCAAACTTAAGACCACTTTCAGACACTTTCAGTACAGCTACTTAACGACATTTATAAAACACTTTGTGACATTGTATTCACCCCATGTCACTTACAAACACTTTATTACACTTTTCAGTCCTCGTCAATTTCAGTTTCTTCACAGGCTATTTGTTTGTCTATAAGCCATCGTGTTCGTCCTTACCGCCACTAAGGCAGAGGCAGCACTGTATGCCCTGTCTTGCTAGAAGCCTCTGTTGATATTCTCATAAATCCGAAACAGCGAAACGAAGCAGATTCAAGACCTCGTCCCAGTGCTGTAACGGACTGAGTTTGGTCGTGTTTTACTCATTTGTTTCTCCACACATGTAGCTTTATAAGGTATAAGGCAATGTATTACACAGATTATGTGCCAATATTACTGGTCGCACAATGGCTCGTTTTGGGATGGTTGAGGCTCATGTATCGAACAGCTGTTCCTGAGCTCTCGAAGCACTTACGTCATCGATGTCTTAAAGTGATGTCAGTTAACTGGTGACAAAAAGTATTTAGAATTATTTATGTTATTTATCCAACTTAAATTGCATATCTAAACAAACAAACAAGCGGAAATAATATAAATTTGTATTAAACATAAATAACCGTATAAAACATTTTTAATTATTTTATTCCGAAAGTCAACGGTTTCGAAGACGTGTGTGTTGCCTGAGGACGATCAACACAGACCACGACTAAACCAATGCTGCCAACAGTCTCCACACGTCTGTTTCGGCGCCACACATGGATACGGCCATGGTTGTTGGGTGAACACTACTCTTACCCAAAATTCCTCCTCCTTATCGACACACTGTACAGCGAAGGACAGCCTCTCTGGTCAACGCTCATTGGTGGAATATCCTGTGAAAATGACCAGTGGCCTCTTACGAAGCTCCAACATCATGTTATATATTCTATCATGTTCATAACTAAAACAAATGCATGGGGAAATTTTAGTAACAGAAAGAAATTACATTTGTTTTTAATTTATTTATCCAGGCTAACGTGTTCGGGGGTACACCTTGGCTGACCACCGAGTAGTTGCCTGGTTTGTGTGTTTCTGGAGGTGGGGTGAGGGAGGGCTGCAGCCTGGGAGTTGCTAACGAGGAAATTCGACGCCGCCAGTCTGTGTGGCTTATAACTGGCTTGGACTGTACTTAAAATATACAGTCAACGACGCTTGTGTTATCTAATATGTCACATACTTTAATCAGAAGTTCTAAAATACTGCAATATTTTTACCTGAGTTATTAGTCCGGTATTCAGAAAACAGTGAGGCCATCAATAATTCCTGAACATTTTAATGACGTCAAAATTTTATGATCCCCCAGAAAATTTTTATTATCCACACATAATCACCCCCCCACCCCACACACAGATGTTATATACTTAAATCAAAGCTGAAACACAAAACTTCAGACACTAATAAGCAGAACTGTGGAACAAGACTCTACACTACAAAATATTACTTTGCTGTCACTCAGAGTCAATTATAACACTCAACCAACGATGACACAGTGAGTTATTAGTGATGTCTCCTTCGTTGGTGAGCTCTGAGGTGACTCGAGAAGCAGGAGAGGCAGGGTCGTCCCCATATACTGCGCGTGTGGGGGGCTGGCTACACTCTACTGTAGAAGATAGATCTCACTTCTCGAATACACAAACAAAAATTGTTGTTGTTGTTGTTGTTTTGAGGAAAATCAAAACTTACACTATATTACACGTACTGCAGCACACACACACACACACACACACCAACTCATATACTGTAGGTATGCGCGTGATCCCTGTATATGCTGATAACCACATAGGAAACAAGAAAACACGAAGTTCCCAAGAGCTTTCGTGTAATTCACATCTTCAGGAGACTTGACTAGAAAAGATGAAGACAAAAGAAGGCAAGGGAGAACAGGAAGAACAGAAGTATACAGAGAATGAACGGGAAGTAACAGACTTTAATTGTGTAGTGACGTTTGGTAGGTGGGCCACTGCGCCTGTAGTCCGGTCTCTGGCTGCGCACGACGGTGTAAGAAGTGTCGTGAACACTTACGCGGCGCAGATGCTGGGTGGTCATCATCGTGTACACAAGCAACTCTTCTCGCCAACAAGAAGATCGTATTAGCAGGCATTATGGTCGGTGGTGGAGAGAGAGTATACGGAACCCTGGGCAAGTGGAGGCAACTGTTGACTTACCTCGTGTTGATGCTGCTCTGCCTCGCCAACGCTGCTGTAGCCAACAAAATTCTGGACCGCATTCAGAATGACTTCGGCGACTACTACAAGATCCTCAACTACGCCATGACGAACACTTCAGACTTCATAAAATTTAATGTCACAAGTCCCTGTAAGTATTTGTCCATTAGTTAAAAGAGCATCTGTGACTAAATTTGAATGAACATGTGTGTGTGTGTGTGTGTGTGTGTATTATATGTGTGTTTGTAATTGTTTGGGTTGATTAGTTTTTCACGATACAATGTACACTAAAGACATCAGAGTGTAGTTGTTGTTGTTTCTGTTAACTTGTTCAATCTTCCTGATTCATTATCTATCTAATATCGTCTTGCCATAATCCCATTTCATTAGGAAGATAATGCAGGTGTTTTTTTTTTAATACACATCAGATGTAACTATCAACAACGATCAATAGACAGACATACTATTTGCTTCTTTACTATTACACTGATGAGACATATACAAAAGTGATGTCATATGCAAAAGTGATGTCATATACAAAAGTGATGTCATATACAAAAGTGATGTCAAATACAAAAGTGATGTCATCTGTACTATTTCCCTTTCATTGTCTTGGGCTGTTCAGATAAATACAAGTGAAGGTAGAGAGAGAGTTTCACCTTCTGTTGTATACGACGAAAAAGATCATAAAACAGTCAAGTCCAAAATTTACAAATACCAAGAAGATCTGAGTAGCACTAAGGTCTTGTGTGTTTTTCCAGAGTGCGTTTCTCCAGAGTGCGTTTCTCCAGAGTGCGTTTCTCCAGAGTGCGTTTCTCCAGAGTGCGACGAAGAGACTTCTTTCTCTCTTGAGGCGGGTGACTGATTGACTTTTCCAGGCATTTGTAACGATAGGACCGATTTTACTTACCGGATTTTAGTAACTGGATTTTACTTACCGAACAGAAATAGAAATGTGAAAAATAGAGAATTTATGTGAGAGATCCACAATAATCACTAAACTCAATAGATGATTTAAATTACTCAAGACAAGGATTACTCATGTCAGGGAGTGAGGAAAGATCGTCAGTGAGAAAGATTACTCATGTCAGGGAGTGAGGAAAGATCGTCAGTGAGAAAGATTACTCATGTCAGGGAGTGAGGAAAGATCGTCAGTGAGAAAGATTACTCATGTCAGGGAGTGAGGAAAGATCGTCAGTGAGAAAGATTACTCATGTCAGGGAGTGAGGACAGATCGTCAGTGAGAAAGACAGAAATGTGTATTGTGAGTCAAAGAAGAAAATTAGCTATTTTTTGTTTTTGTTTTTAGGAGAAATTTATTAATATTTTTTGTGTTATTTTTATATCTTTAACACTTTCACCATTGGATCTACCTGTTCTTCTCTCTACCTCTCTCTCTCTCTCTACCTCTCTCTTTATAACTCTCTCTTTGCTTCTTCCTTATACGTTAATAGACACATCTTTCTATTTCAGTTCTCTCTTACATATCTTTAGCATAGTATCTTTCTTCTGTGTCTGTTTTACATAAATCTGTTTCTTTAACTTTTTTTTCATCTGTTACATAGATCCGCCTCATTAACCTGGCCATAGTTAGCACAGATAAAGTGAGCTAGAAACTTGAGCAGAGATTTAATAGTAATGATATTTGGAATAAATTGTAGTTATAAAGAGGGTAATATATATACGCTTTGTCACTCTGGTATAACGTGGGGTTTAATTATCTTGGTATTAATCAATAAGAGCTGGCTGGCTGGCTGGCTGGCTGGCTGGCTGGCTGGCTGGCTGGCTGGCTGGTGCTCGGTGTAGCCAAAACAAGACTCACTGTAAAAACTTGACACACTTTGCATCATTTTCCATCTACTGGCAACAAATGATCGAGGAAAACTCTAATGATATTTGGGGATGAAATATCAAACTGTGAGAAAGTAACAAAATGGAAAACTCGCGCGATAATTTTTTTTTTTACATTGTATTAAAAAGAATAACTATTGAAGCCAAGATTTAAAGTACATAAATAAACCAGTTTTGTGATTCGTATTTTCAAAGTTCAACTCTGATGAAATAAACAGTTGATGCTTGAATGAATGTGATTTAACATTTACATTAAGAGCAATACATAAGGGAAAATAACATCAGCAATCACATAGGAGAAATACAAAGAGGAATATCCGATTACATAGCATCAGTGGGAAAAGTGTTTGTGTATAAGAGACCGCAAGAATCGGTAAAAGGTGTAGGAGGCGAGAGGCTATTGTGTTATCGGTGGAAAGTGTAGGAGACATTAGGCTATTGTGTTATCGGTGGAAAGTGTAGGAGGCATTAGGCTATTGTGTTATCGGTGGAAAGTGTAGGAGACATTAGGCTATTGTGTTATCGGTGGAAAGTGTAGGAGACATTAGGCTATTGTGTTATCGGTGGAAAGTGTAGGAGACATTAGGCTATTGTGTTATCGGTGGAAAGTGTAGGAGACATTAGGCTATTGTGTTATCGGTGGAAAGTGTAGGAGACATTAGGCCTATTGTGTTATCGGTGGAAAGTGTAGGAGACATTAGGCTATTGTGTTATCGGTGGAAAGTGTAGGAGACATTAGGCTATTGTGTTATCGGTGGAAAGTGTAGGAGACATTAGGCTATTGTGTTATCGGTGGAAAGTTTAATTCGAACTTCGGTTTCAACATTTTAACACCATCTTCTTGAGAACTGTTTAGTGTATGTTAATTATATATGAGTAACAATGATCACGGACTTTTTCTAGTAAAAATTAAGTAGTATTAAATTAAAAAATAAATAGTTACATTTCATTATATATATATATATATATATATATATATATATATATATATATATATATATATATATATATATATATATATATATATATATATATATATATATATATATATATATATATATATATATATATATATATATATATATATATATATATATATATATATATATATATATATATATATACAGTATATATACAGTATATATATATATATATATATATACTTTTTTTTTAACCCAATGTAAATTATGAACAAAATGCGCAAATACAATAATGAACAAGTAAATAAACAGTATTTTGGACAATCAAGTAAAAAATAATTTGACGTGAAAGATTTGTAAGTTTATTTTAAAGTTTATTAATTCGGATCATACTGTGGACCATGAACCTTGTTACCATAGATAAGTGCATTGATAAGTCGATCCTCCAGCAACACCCTCCCTCTTATAATCCCCAAATGCAGAAAATCCAGATCCTAATTTGGGGTCTTGACGGCGGTGTTTAGTACCTGGTAACTTCACCAAGTGTCTGACATCAGCATCACTGTATAACACAACTCCTTCACTATCACATGGGCGTCAACCTAACCTAACCTACACTCCGAGGAACATTAAATAAACATAAAGTAAATTAAAATGTACCTGATTTCTAAAATATATCAAATTATTTTTCTCCAGGTGAGTGTCGTAATTGGTGCTTCGTGTATTCAGCCTGTCACTCGGTGTCGGTGATGCCACAAGCGAACGGCGTGAGGGAGTGCCGCATATCCAGTGAACCAACTAACATCGGCGATCGGTCTCAGCGTCCCAAACTCAAGAAGACCTCTGGCGCCATACACTTCCTCGCTGCAGGTAAAATCTGTGTTCATCAGGTGGAATAAGTAAGTCACGTAGAGATTCACAACTGGTGTGAGATCTTACATTGGTTATGATGTAATGTGGAGGAACTGCCACTACCACACTACTAACTTGTGTGTGTGTGTGTGTGTGTGTGTGTGTGTGTGTGTGTGTGTGTGTGTGTGTGTGTGTGTGTGTGTGTGTGTGTGTGTGTGTGTGTGTGTGTGTGTGTGTGTGTGTGTGTGTGTGTGTGTGTGTGTGTGTGTGAGTGTGTGTGTGTGTGTGTGATTCATATAAAAAAATAAAAATTATTGTTTTCAGTCTCAGGAACCAGAGACTGGGATACTCTTTTGGATGATGGCTTCAGGTGGCGTACGGAGAGCACCTCTTATATTTGGAGTTACCGACTATCTAGCGCGAGACTTGCCATCCTCTCATCACTACATCAGGTGAAGCTCGCTATGAGAGACACGACAGGTGAGTTCTATATCATTAACATATGTTAATTATGGGTTAATTAAGCGTCCGTCAGAGCGGTTAGTCATAGTGGTTCTCTGTTACAATGTGTTTAAGAGTGCAAGGTGACCTACTTATTTTACAGGCTTCAAAAAATAATAATCATCATTACTGCCTCAGTCCATTCATTATATTACCCAGTCCTTCTCTGGCAGGTGAATCATGGTCACCACTACTGGACATCACTGATTTATTTCCTTATTTTCCTCTCTATTTTCCCGTGACTCTCGTGGTTTATGACGACTCCTACTTTTCCGTTAGATGTTCTACTCAGACCAATTAAGTTGATATTTTCTGTCAATTTCTGACGTAACGTGGCTCTGATATGAGTAGTCTTTTCGCCAACGTGACCTAACCTAACCTAATCTTAGTGACTATGAGTTAACTGTCTGATTCACAAAGTTCCTCGAACAAAATGTTTCAAATTATTATTTTTTATGGCGCATTATAGGACACCTCCACACGCTACAGTCAGCCATCAGTGAGACAAGAGGTGCCCTGTAGGCGCTTTTGGTTTTGGTAGCCAGGCCGAGTCTGTTTGGCCCTGCCCCCCCCCCCCTGCTATATCCCAACTCCCTCCAACCTCACTACACCGGGATCTATCAGCAAAACATTCAAGTGATCACTGTAATGATTGGTTATCAAACAGTGATCCGACAATGCATTCCAAGGAAAAGCACCAAATAACAGCAGTGTAATACCAGGCCGTGGGCACTTTGTCGGTCACAATCCTTAAATAAGCTACTACCTATTGCAATCACCCCAACACCCAGCTTAATCTGTGAAAGTTTCGTGTTTGATTGGGCTATACAATATATACCTAACCCAAGAGAATAAAGGTAATTTTGCTCATACATAATAATAATTATTAATTACACTGTGAGCATAAACTAACCCAAACATATGTAGCGTAGTTTATCTGTACACAGAAACTAATGCTTATCAAATATAGAATTTGGTGGATTAAAACTACCAGTGCAAAATAAAATAATCCGCATCACATCCGCATCAGACTGTGTGGATGCGGATGGCACATACATGGGTTCCATTACTGTACAGTAACTCTTATACACTTCACAATAATAGTACACACAGTGGTTGCCGGTGATAGCACTGACCCACTAGTTGTTCGGTGCTCAACACCGCACCTCTCCCGCCATCTTCCACCGTAGTTGTATGAGAGATTATATGTTTATAAATATATTTTTTGTACCTATATTATAAATATTTATTTATGTTTCAGTAAACAAGCCGTACTACGTGGATCTGTCTCGCAATGACACTGACCAACCCGTCTGGAACGCTGGTGGCGGGAATGTTAAGTACAACGATACAGACCTTGACCCAACACGTATCCAGGACGACCCAAACCTCTCCAGCTCCAAGTTCTATTTTATTCATGATGGTTCCCAGTACACATTTGTTGGGACTTCTGGCTCAACAGAAAGAATTCACCTTCAGCAGTATAACTACCTCAACCTCTGGGAGTGACGTGGCCAGCTGCGGCAGCTGTGGGGGGACTTAACAGTGGGACCTTCACTTACAGTAATGTTGATGTTCATTGCTTGACTACGACGTGACTTGTCTCAGAGCTCCCTAAGACCACGCCGGAGTAGACGTTGTTGACCTGGCCCTCACCTCCCTGGCAGACATTACTGACCTGGCCCTCACCTCCCTGTCAGACATTACTGACCTGGCCCTCACCTCCCTGGCAGACATTACTGACCTGGCCCTCACCTCCCTGGCAGACATTACTGACCTGGCCCTCACCTCCCTGGCAGACATTACTGACCTGGCCCTCACCTCCCTGGCAGACATTACTGACCTGGCCATAATCACCAGGGTTGTAACTAATATATACACTATATCTGAGGCCACCTAAGGGCCTGTTCTCCTACACACGGATATTAGGCAGTATTAACGTGACACAAGATCATTAACATTAAAACTTCTTCAACACAACGTCCTTCCTCCTCAGCTTGTGACTCTCTCTCTCTCTTACCGGGTACAAACTTTACCGTGAGTCATCGGTGAACTGAGTCCTTCCCAACATTACACACAAACACACGTCGGTGCTGATGTCTCACTTGTCTAACATCAAACTAAGATGAGGCAGAAACACTTTAGATAAGGTTTTCTTCAACTGGCTATTGTATATTATAGTGTTGGTATAGGAATATATCCCAGTGGATATTGAACCAAGAGTTAAACTATCAAATGTTTGGGTGTTTATCAAGAGTTTTCCCGCACGTGTGAGAGTTTGATCCTTATAGTCACATTTAACCAAACCTAACCTCACCTAACCTAACCTAACCTCACCTAACCTAACCTAACCTAACCTAACCTCACCTAACCTAACCTAACCTAACCTAACCTCACCTAACCTAACCTAACCTAACTAACCTAACTCACCCTAACCTAACCTACGGTGTGTATTAAATATCTCGCTTTATTTCTATACACTATAATCTTATATAATATAATAAATATAATATAGATTTTTTTCTCACCTAATTCATCTTGAGACATATTTTTCCCTATACCTGTATATCAAAAAATTGTTAACTAAGATAATATAAACATTACATTACTTTAAATATATCTAAGCTCTCCAATGGAAATAATATATAACAAGAAAAATTAATATAGTACAGGAAAAAGGTAATATATAGTCCCCTCCACTAATGCCTTTACTAGTGTGAGTTTCCTTCTGTCGAATATAAACACACACAGAGCTGCCACCTTGCCCCCAAATCCTGACAAGCCCCTGTAAACGCACAAGTGAAGGGGGACTGTACACTCATTAACAGATTATTCTGCACGTTTATGGGGTTATACAATATGACACACCGGACCATGAAATCTGAAAACACTATAACACTATTTTTTGTCCAAGTTATCGTTTAAGATAGTTTCAGAACCAAGGCTGCAGAATATTTTAGTGAGTGTACAAACTAATATATTTAAATTGGCCGTCATTGTAATCCTGAATGGAAAAATGTCACTTTCACGACCCACTGACAAATGAAAATAAAAAACAAAATAAAATAATCAACTAAAATAAAGATGTTTAATTCTCTCCACTCATCTATATCAGCTATGTGCTTTACAAAATATAGCCCAAATACACACATAATTTATTTTTGTTTTTTATGATAGAAATATTATATGTAAGGTAATTGTTATAGAAAAAAAACACAGACATATTGACAAAAAAATTATATAAGATAATTGTAATATAATAAAGAACGGTCCAGTATTTGCGGCTAGTTGGGTATAGGTTAGGCTAGTAGGGGATCAATTTGGCTAGTAGGGGATCAATTTGGCTAGTAGGGGATCAGTTTGGCTAGTAGGGGATCAGTTTGGCTAGTAGGGGATCAATTTGGCTAGTAGGGGATCAGTTTGGCTAGTAGGGGATCAATTTGGCTAGTAGGGGATCAATTTGGCTAGTAGGGGATCAATTTGGCTAGTAGGGGATCAATTTGGCTAGTAGGGGATCAATTTGGCTAGTAGGGGATCAATTTGGCTAGTAGGGGATCAGTCAGTCAGTCAGTTATCTAGTTAGTCAGTCAGTCATTCAGTCAGTCAGTCAGTCAGTTAGTTATCTAGTTAGTCAGTCAGTCAGTCAGTCAGTCAATCAGTTATTTAGTTAGTCAGTCATTCAGTCAGTCAATCAGTCAGTTATCTAGTTAGTCAGTCAGTCATTCAGTCAGTCAGTCAGTTATTTAGTTAGTCAGTCATTCAGTCAGTAAGTCAGTCAATCAGTTATTTAGTTAGTCAGTCATTCAGTCGGTCAATCAGTCAGTTATCTAATTAGTCAGTCATTCAGTCAGTCAGTCAGTCAGTTATTTAGTTAGTCAGTCATTCAGTCAGTCAGTCAGTCAGTTAGTTATCTAGTTAGTCAGTCATTCAGTCAGTCAGTCAGCCAGTCAGTCAATCGACTAAACAATCTGTTGTCTGGTCAGTCATTTTGAATTAAATTACATAAAGGTGCCTGACGCATCTATCATGACGTGTTGTGGTTGTTTGTGGGTTGTGTTGTGAGGTGTTGTGGTTGTTTGTGGGTTGTGTTGTGAGGTGTTGTGGTGGTTTGTAGGTTGTGTTGTGAGGTGTTGTGGTTGTTTGTGGGTTGTGTTGTGAGGTGTTGTGGTGGTTTGTGGGTTGTGTTGTGAGGTGTTGTGGTGGTTTGTAGGTTGTGTTGTGAGGTGTTGTGGTTGTTTGTGGGTTGTGTTGTGAGGTGTTGTGGTGGTTTGTGGGTTGTGTTGTGAGGTGTTGTGGTGGTTTGTAGGTTGTGTTGTGAGGTGTTGTGGTTGTTTGTGAGTTGTGTTGTGAGGTGTTGTGGTGGTTTAAGAATTGTGGTGAAGTGTTTTACGTATGTATGTATGTTTGTACAGTCCAAGCCAGTTATAAGCCACACAGTCTGGCAGCCTCGAAATTCCTAGCCAATAACTTCCCAGGCTGCAGCCCTCCCTCACCCCACCTCCAGAAACACACAAACCAGGCAACTACTCGGTGGTCAGCCAAGGTGTACCCTCGAACACGTTAGCCTAGATAAATAAATTAAAAACAAATGTATTTTCTTTCTGTTTCTAAAATTAGCCATGCTTTTGTTTTAGTTATGAACATGATAGAATATATAACATGATGTCGGAGCTTCGTAAGAGGCCACTGGTCATTTTCACAGGATATTCCACCAATGAGTGTTGACCAGAGAGGTTAACAGACGCGGATCATACCTCGAGGTTGGCCTTCGCTGTACAGTGTGTCGATAAGGAGGAGGAATCTTGGACAAGAGTAGTGTTCACCCAACAACCATGGCCGTATCCATGTGTGGCGCCGAAACAACACAAGGTAACATAACCATAAAGTTATGTTTACAACCTTTAATCTGGTTAATTTTTGTATGCTGCATATTAAGTTACTTTATGAAATCCCGTATATCTTGCAGTAATTTATAAATCATAAATTTACCTTAAAGTAGAGAACGTATCACAGTGATAAGGTCTACATTATTTTACGGAGATATGATCGGCGCAATAATCTATGAAGAACAAGGGAGCAGCCCATAATATTTGCTATTATTGACAATCACAAGGTAAACTACCGCTACAAACTGCCTTACAGTAGTTAAAAGTTTTATTAATTACACAGGTAATCTAAGAAACACGCGACATCTTGTCTTTGAACACCTTCCTGAATTAAGTTTAAGGTGATTGACTTTCTTTGGTTTGTCTGTAGTCTGTGTAAAATATTAAGCCACACAATATACCTGACAGATGTGTGGAGACTGTTGGCAGCATTGGTTTAGTCGTGGTCTGGGTTGGTCGTCCTGAGACAACACACACGTCTTCGAAACCGTTGACTTTCGGAATAAGAAACTAGTTAAAAATGTGTTCTATCGTTATTTGTTATGTTTAATACATATTTATCTTATTTCGGTTTGTTTCCCGTTTGTTTGTTTGTTTATTATAAAAAGCAATAAACCGGGATAAACATTAAAAATAATTTGGGATACTTTTTGTCACCAGTTAACTGACACCACATTGAGACATCGATGACGTTAGTGCTTCGAGAGCTCAGGAACAGCTTTTCGATACATGAGCCTCAACCATCCCAAAACGAGCCATTGTGCGACCAGTAATATTGGCACATAATCTGTGTAATACATTGCCTTATACCTTATAAAGCTACATGTGTGGAGAAACAAATGAGTAAAACACGACCAAACTCAGTCCGTTACAGCACTGGGACGAGGTCTTGAATCTGCTTCGTTTCGCTGTTTCGGATTTATGAGAATATCAACAGAGGCTTCTAGCAAGACAGGGCATACAGTGCTGCCTCTGCCTTAGTGGCGGTAAGGACGAACACGATGGCTTATAGACAAACAAATAGCCTGTGAAGAGACTGAAATTGACGAGGACTGAAAAGTGTCATCAAGTGTTTGGCAGTGTAATAAAGTGTTTGTAAGTGTTATGAAGTGTATCAAGTGTCACAAAGTAGTTTTACTGTTGTCTGGAGTTTCAAAAAGTTATTTTAAGTGCCGTAAAGCTTTAATATGTATTGTGAAAAGATCAATTGCATCATAACGTGTTCGTAAGTAACGTAAAGTGTTTAGAAGTGTTGTGTTCTATGTAATTTTCAAAAGTTTTATAAAATGTTTTAAGTGCCGGTAGGTCTGATAAAGTACGATTAAGTCTAATAAGTGTTGCAAGATGTAGTACACAATGAAAGAGTGCTGAGAAGTGGCAGAGGTGTATAATGAAGTGTCCTGAAGTGTCATTAAGGGTTATGAAGTATGCTAAAGTGTCTTGACGCGTTTTAGTGACCTAAAATATCATGCGGTATTTTAAAGTGCCGTAAAAAGTCATATTGTTTCATTGTGTCATAAAGTGTCATAAAGTGTCATAAAGTGTCAAAGTCTCGAAGTTTCGATTAGATAAAGTATCCAGACAACGTGCTATAGTGTCATATGGTGTTGAAAAGTGTCGTAAGGTGCTGTGAACTCTCTCAAAGTGTCGTAACGTGTCATTAATGTCGTACAGTTTTGCAAAGTGTCTTGAACTATCGCAAGGAGTAAGTGTGTCATGGAGTACAGCAAGGTGTCGTCAGGGCCATGAGGTGTCATAAGAGTGTCAAGACGGTGCCAGGAGGTGACCCTGTACGGCACCAGGGTTCCCTCGACCACCAGCACAAGGTAACTA